AGGCTCAGGCAATTCACTCACCTCAGCCTCCCAAGGCACGGGATTACAGGCTGAGCCACCAAGCCCGGCTATTACTGGGATTTTCAAAGTACCTGGCTACCTTCTTATATTAGCCTGATTTTTTGTTTTTTCTGGAGTCTCTAGCTCTGTGCCTGATCCAGAAGTTCAGAAAGAGTTAGTCCCAGCACATACATGAGTGTTTACTGAGAGAGAGAGAAAGTTTAACTTCCCTGACCTGGTATCTTTAGGTCTGGGATTCAGGTCCATCTAGGGTCCACTCTTGTAGTCTGCCCCAGAATGAAGTCCTAATATTCTTTGCTGACAGATCTAGAAAATACGACTTGTTAAGTACATGAGTTTACGTGGACTTTTCCGGTTTAATATTGTAGGTCCGTTGTCCACCAAGATCTTTGTTGACTTTGACTACCTTTGTTTTATGCTTGGCTCTCCTCTCCATTTTCATTTCTACCTACAAAATTTGGTGAAAGTTAAATTATAGGCAATTCAAAACGTACAGGTGAAAATTAAGGTTATCAAGGTTATTAAGGTTAATTTGCAAATGGACACTTTTAAATGTTTCCGTCTCTATAATTTATTAACAAAAGGTCTTTAGAAATTTCTGACAACCATGGACACTGATGCTTGTAGACAGTGTCAAGCCAGTTGCAATGAGTGAGTTGGTCTTTTATAGAAGAAATTACAAAGAGCTATTGAGCTGTCTTGGAATCCTTTTCCTAGGACAGAGGAGGAGTGACTGTCTTGATGGTGGGAGTCATGTGAAGCTTAGCAAAAAGTACAAGTAATAGATATAACTTTTGTTCTCAGGAAGCTTATTAGATTTGCTGTTTTTCTAGTGGATTCTTGATGGCTGTCTTGGGCTCAGAAATGAGGGTGAAGAAACAGAGAAAGAAGATTCTTTGACGGATAAGGGGGTACTAAGGTTGTCTTTCTATAAAGTATGTCTCCAAGTTTGGCACTGAATCCTGGAGTGGCACCTCCACATTGAACAATTTGATGACAAGGTGGTTTTGAAATAGCTAGATCCTAGATGTAGAGAGGCTGTCAGTTCTGAGGACCCTATTATCTGAAGCAGTTAGCCTGTGGGGCTTGTGTCATTACGTCTTGCTGTGGTAGTATCCTTAGTGCTATACTAATGCTGTTTTATAGAACACAAGTTCCACAAATAGGTTGTTCCCCATGTTCCTGCTATGTGCCAGATATTTGGTAGCCATTGAAGATTTAAAAAAGAGAGAGAGTAGGATGTGACTTCTGTTCTCTAGGAATTTAATGTTTTGCTGCAAAGACAGATTTAGAAACAGAAAATATTACGTGGTAAGTAAAATAGCAGAAGTATGTTAGCATAAGGGCTACTGGATTCACAGAGAAGGGAATAGTTACTCATGCCTAGAATAAGATTGGATATTTATTCAGTGAGCTCTCTGAAGGAGCTGGCTATTGGAATGAGTCTTAAAGGATACATACGTGCTTGGTGAAGTAGGGTAAGGTTGGGGAAGCAGAAGGAACTTTGTGACAAAGGCCAAAATAGTTTGGAGAAGATAGTTTTATCAGTATAAGATGTGAAGCAAGAAATCAGAGTAGAAAAGTGTAGCCTTGGGGTTAGGTGAGGGGGATCTTTGGAGAAGGTGAGGCTTTTGGGTAGCCACTGAAAGGGAGGGGTCCTGTCACAGGCTCGCATCCTTGTGTGATCTTTCAGACCTGACTATATGCAATTACAAGGCTTTGCCTGGCAAACCTCAGAGGGGCAAGCTACCCTCATCATGCCAGACTCGGTGCGTAGCCAGAGCATTGCAGTTTCCTAGAGAAAATTGTGGTCAAGGACTTAAGCCTCTCCCTTTCCTGTCGGCCAACCATGCATATGTGTACATCTGCATTCAAGCCCAGAGAGAACTTGACTAAGGCACTTTCTAGTTGCTCCTGCTAAGACCTCCTTATCGGGGGTCCTTGGCTTAAGTTCTTTCTCTTCTTTGAGTAAATACCAATCCACTCCTAGCCCATACCCCTTTTGTGTCTCTAGCCCCATGTGTCCGTAAAGAGGCGGGGCCTTTGGGTTGGGGACCCGTGGAATGAGATGATTCCTTGTGTCTGCACTGACCCTTGCCTGTTGCCATTCTGGGGATGAAAAAGGTAACATTGTGTGCCACGCTCTTGCATCTTGGCTTGCACTGTCCCAGAAAGTGAATAGCCACTTTCAGTTTGGACTGTCCCAGTGGACCACCTTAACACCCATGATTTCTTGACAAAGCATTGGAGGCAGGCAAATGTGATCAAATTAGTATTTGAGCAATCTTTCTGGTGAGTGTGAGACAGATTTATGGGGTTTGAGGACATGCAAAAACCGTTGTGTGGCCATTATGTAATCTAGGGAGGAAAAGTAGAGGTGGCAAAGAGGGGATTTACTTTTTAATGCTTAGAAGTTGAAATTAACTGGGCTTGGAAATAGTTAGTTTGGTAACAGCAAGACTACAAAGTAGAATTAATCCTTGCTCTCTTTTCCTTCTTTCCCACCATTTCCCAACCCAAATCCACTCTCAGCATCATCTGAACTAGGCAAGGAAGAAGAGCAAATTTACCAAAGATGAGTTTACTTTGACAAGCTGAAGGCCCATCATGCCTCAGGCTCAGATTGGCAGCTGTAGGAATTTGAGCCCCTGAGTAGTGTACATCTAGATGTTTTCAACATACAGGTCATTTAGAGAGCAACCTAGGGCAACAAACACCACCACTTAAGGGAAGACGAAACAGAGAAAAAAAATAAGTATCAAGAAAGGCGAATTCTAAAGTGGCAGAGTTCTCATTTTTGTTTAAAATGTAAGAAAATAATATGTAGAATACAGTATTTTTTAAAACTTCCCAGTAAAGATATTCAGATTGTTGAAGAACTGTGCCAAATAGTATGTGTGTCATAGCTGTATCTTGCAAATTTCCATGAGGAAAAAAAAATACCTTTCAATCTGTTATCCTACTTTTGTATGTAAAACCATCAGTGTGAAATACATAGTGCCTGGCAGGCCATTTTGTTTTATTTCCCTGTCTCTTGTATTCTTTTGCAGTTTCATTCTGTTCACAGAAATGAAATTGAAGTATTATTCCTTGATAACTTTTGCCCATTTTTGAAATTCTGTTTTAAGTTTTTTGTTTTTTTTTTTGAGACAGGTCTTTATATGTTGTCCAGATTGGAGTACATTGGCCATTCACAGGCATGATATGGCTCACTGTGGTCTCCAACTCTGAGGCTCAAGGAATCCTTCCCCTAGCCTCCCGAGTAGCTGGGGCTATAGGCATGTGCCACTCTGTTAATTTCTAGGTGCTTTTTTTGTATAAAGGAAACACAAACTGCAGTTTTTCCCCCAAGTTTTAAATTTAGCTCTTGAATTTCTCTGTTGTGTTCTTCAAAAATTTTGTGATCTAATTTATTTTTTCTCTTGATTTCTGGACTTTAAGTTGGCCTGTTGTCTCTCTTATGCCATTTTAATAAAGGAATTCACCCTTTTTTTTGGATTTAGTTTGGTAGAATTTGTTTTTTAGCAGTTTTAGATTTACAGAACATTGAAAATTTTATAGAAAATTTGAGCAGATATTATAGAGAATGCCAGTATATCTCCTTTTTTATTGTATACAGTTTTCCCTATTATTAATATTTTGCATTAGTGTGGTATAATGGTTGCAATTGATAATCCAATATTGACACATTATTATTAACTAAAGTGCATGGTTTACATTAGACTTCAATCTTTGTGGTGTTGTAGCCCGTAAGTTTTGACACATGTAATGATGCATTCTACCGTTGTAGTGTCATACAGAATACTTTCACTGCCCTAAAGATCCCCTGTGCTCTATTTATCCCTCTCTCTCCCCAGAAAACCACTCATCTTTTTACTGTCTCCATAATTTTGCCTTTTCCAGAACGTCATACAGTTGGAATCATATAACATGTAGCCTTTTCAGATTGGTTTCTTTCACTTAGTAATAGTAATATGCATTTAAAGTTACTGCATGTCTTTTCATGGCTTGATAGCTCATTTCTTTCTATTGTTGACTAATATTCCATAGTTTGGATGCTCTACACTTATTCATTCACCTACTGAAGGATATTTTGATTGCTTCCAAGTTTTGGCAATTATGCATAAAGTTGCTATATACATCTATGTGCTGGTTTTTGTTTGGTTATAAGCTTTCAGCTCCTTTGGGTAAATCCCAAAGAATGTGATTGCTGGTCTATATGGTAAGTTTCTTTTGTAAGCAACTGCCAAACTC